CTCTGTCTCCAAACCCATTGTGACATCATGAAGCATAATTGGAAAAGAGTAGTAGTAATAGTTGTAGATAAAGTTATAGCAATATTACAAACCCCTCTTCTGATTTAACAAGTAGTATTGGACAAAGTGCTTTAGATAAGAGAAGGCTAATATCAAATCGTTTTGTGTCAAAGGCATATATACAGCCTCCAGTGAACTTTGTCCTCCTTCATTGTTCAACATGATTATTAATAAACCACAGACATTTTTAAAATTAATTGCATTGACATGTTACAATTACTTAAACTATAGTGTACATGAATACTAAAAGTGTACAAGTGACATAAAACTCCATGTTGTAGAGGTATTGGTATTGGTGTCATGTAAAGAAGCAATTTTTGCTGATTTTTATTTTTTGGAAATTCAGTTCTTTTGTATTATTTCTATAACGTTCAACATCATAAAGAGCTCCTTATTTATTTGCATTTCTAGTATTCAAAATAGCTTGGACAGAACTCATAAAATTGAATTATCACTCATTCATGGGGATTAAACGATGCAGGCAGCAGTTTTTATTAATTTTATTTTATTAAATCCCTCCAAATCTTACACATTTTATTGTTATTTACAGGGCCCATGTTTCATCCCAGAGGGCCACCAGGACCTATGAACATGCGTGGAATGGGACCTAGGCCTGGTATGTTTCTTTCTTGTCCTTTTGACATGAGGTTATTCAGTATTATTCTGCTTTTATGTGCCACAGATAGGACTTTCATATAGTAATGCAGTCATGACTTTTTCTCTTTTTTACCACAAGTTTTTTTTTTTTTTTTTAACCACAAGTTTAGCTTGTTTAATCATTGCTGCTCCTGTAAATTAAATAATGAATTAATGTTGTTGTTGTTATTATTATTATTATTATTACTATTACTATATGTTTTGGCTCCTGGTGACTTGCAAGTTTTAACAATTACTTGGGATTCTTGTTTCGCAATTAACAACTGCTATGACCGCATAGCTTCTTTGAACAAATAGAAATCTTTTTTTTATTATTGTTATTTAAATTTTTTGATGATATTCAATTATTACCACCCTGTCCCCTTAATTAAGATGCAATTTCATTTGAAACATATTGGAACTGAACTTATTCGGACAATCAAATTTCATTTAACAGGCAATACACCTATAAAACAATTTAAAAATCAGTTGTGGTGATAGCTCAGTGATAGAAAACTGGGCATAAACCTGGAGACTGGAGGTCAATCCATGTTCGAGGAATCAACGTTTTGAACAATTATAATTGTTAAAATACTTTTGTTACATAGTAACTAGGTCACATCATGGAAACCTTTATTGTGTATAACATATTTCTGATGTAATTGTCTCTCCAATGTGGGGACAGGGGGTGACAATTGAATAAAGGAATAAATAAATAAACAAATAAAATATATTTGTTTTGCCCTGAATCACACTTTAACTATAAACAAAACAAAAAATACACCATCCCACAGTAATCCCAGTAGTTGGGAGTTACATACTGTACGCCCACAAGGAGGCACCACACTTGGGTTTATTTGGTGGCTGCAATGTGCATGCAGCTTTTTGTTCAATTGAACAGTGAAAACACATTTTAAACTATCTTGAGGCAACACACTATCCTGAGATACTAGGCTTTTTCGTGTCGTAGCTGGCAGGGCACTTACTCATTACCCAGGCTTGTTCCTGCTCTCATAACAAACTTACAATTGTAGTAAAATATCTTCTATTGAAATATTTATATTACATTCTAAGAATTAATGTTTTCCTTGGGTGCCTCCCTCATGCTACTGCTCTGCAAATGCCATAGTTAAGATATTTTTAAAATGACTTTCACAGTTATTAAAATATACCTTATATCAAAGTGTGTTTGTTGTGTATATTGTTTTTTGACGATGAAAGTTTGCACACTTAACCTTCAAAATAAGGTCACGATCTTCTCAAGATTTTAAAAATCTTGCCCAAGCTCCTTTACCTTAAAGTAGTATGTAAGTGCTCTCTCAGATTTTGGTGGAAAACTCAAACTCTGCAAGCAAACCTGTGAATGTAAATCCTGAATTTCTGAAAGCCTTTAAAATTGGTTACTTAATGCATTTTACTACATTCTGAAAGCACAAATGTGCTTCAATGAGGAATTTGAAAATTAGTTTCAATAGGTAGTGTGACTGTGTTAGAATAGAGTGGATGAAAATAAAATAATTTTAATTTCATTACATGATAGATCATTTTTTCCTGTTTAATAAAGGATTGTAATAAATAAATTTCTGGACAATGCAGTGTTACTTCAGCTACTCTAAGAAGATTCTTTATTTGGTTTTTATTCAAATCTTGTTTTATTTAAAAAATTCCACTTCTGTCCTTCAAAATGTAGATCACTTCTACTTGAGACTTAAAACTTAAAGCAGAATTTAATTGGGCAGTCTTTCAGATTTTTGCGAGTATCACAAAAGCAGTGGGGAAGTCAGCCAACTGGATCCTAATTTTCTGGAAGCCCTTATCCTCTATATTTAACATTAAATCATAACTTGTTTCTAATATTTGTGAAACTGCATTAACATCAATCAGTTGTGTAGAAACTTTCTCTCCGCTTCACTACAAAAATGTTGTTTTCATACACACATGTGGAAAAAATTCCATTTGAATTATTATAGTTTTTACCCGTTTGTTGTAACAAATGGATACGTTTTAAAAGACCTATTGATACTTGCTTTCTATTTTGGAAGAAAATATTAAATTATTAGTGTGTGATATGAAGACCAAATGATTAATTAATTTATCAAATAGACTTCTACTTTCAATTTTTACTATTATAAACCTTTGTACTCTCTTATACATCTCACTATATATAATAGTAAATATTGTAGTTTGTTTACTTTACTTGCTAAGTGTAAAAAATGGTTGGAAAGTGTTGAGTGTCAAATCCACCACATTAGCATCCTGTACTGGCAATTAAATTATGCATGTATTTTTATGCCAAATTTATGTTCATTGTTCAGTGTTGGTATATCATGAGTTTTCTCCTTCATTTTCAGGTTGTCATATTCTGTGATGCCCATGTTGTATTTATCCATAGGCCATAGTTCTAGTATTTAATTATATTGTCTTTTGTTCTATTCATATTTTACTGAGATATTTTTAAATACTATATGTAGATTCAGAATTAGATCATTGAATCATAAGCAAGAATATAAACCATACTATTATTTATTTGTAGTGACCCGTGATGTATCAGGTGTAATCAGGTGTTACAGTGTCATCCAATCAGGAGCTTGAAGGTTACCTCAGTGACATCACTTGGGTGATGTTCAAACTCCAAATTGGATGACACTGTAAACTTTTTCCAGTTCAGTTATCGTTTAATTTGCACCAAGTGCTTCTGTTGAACACATCAATTTTAATATAATTAATTATTTAATGTAGTGATCACAAACTTTGAACTAAAATGTTTCGACTCTTTGATTGTCTGCAAGACTTAATCATATATCACATATTGAATATGTTAGACCTGACAATTTTTTCATCTATTACCAAACTGAGCCGTATCAAATAATTGAATTGTTTTTGGAATTTCAATTTTGTAAAATATGAAAATTGTTAATATTCATTGTTGAAAACATCAACGTTGTGCACTGTGTGTAGATAAAAACAGAGAATTGGTTTAATTTTTTATGTCCAAGTTGAGGAAAAATATTTTGGGATTATAGTGTTATAAAACTATTTTAGGTATTTACAAATGAAAAGCAGTTAACATGCATTCAAGTGAAGTGTTCTTTGAAGACATAATCACAATTTCGTATTACAAATAGATTTCTTTTCATGTTTTGATCGTTGTTATAATTTATCTAAGATAGTTGGTGTCTCTTTCAGATACATGTAATAAAAGCTTGTATTTTGTTATTCTTTTTGGTCTAAATAATTTTTACTCTTGTAAATCCAATAATATCTAAGCATATTGACAAGTTTCTTACTTTATTTCAGTTTTTAAAACAGGATACTTCATTTTCAGGTATATGGATGGATAACCAAGGCCCTCACATGTCTGGAAGGGGATTTGAGGGATCGCCTGGTGAAGAGCAATTCTTTGGGCGCTTGCCCTTCGATGAAATGGAACGGAGAGCCAGAGAAGAAGGTCGCCACATGCGTGGGGGTGCAGGCTGGGGTCCAGGTCCTGGTCCCGGCCCTGGCCCTGGATCAGTCCCTGGTCCTGGCCCTGGGTCTGGGTCTGGTCCTGGACCTGGACCTGGACCTGGACCTGTATCAGGTTCTGTGCCTGGCTCTGGACCAGCTGGGCCACGGAGAGGACCTTCTGGGCCTCCGGGGGCTGCTGGAGGACCTCCCACTCCTGGCAGCACAGGCCGCAGAGGGAGGACAGACGAAACCCCTGGAAAATCAAGTGAAGGAAGCAAGTCTAGTTCAAGCAGATCAGAAAGAGATAGGAGTCGCAGATCAAGGTGGAGTAATGTATCACCGGAACCTTCGGAAAATGCAGCAGTTGTGGTGGAATCTGAGGCACAAGATGTAAAGGAGATCTCAGAAGACAGTAAAGAGCCAGCTGATCCTAGTGTTCAAGGTGCTTTAACAGATACCCCCTCAGATAATGAACCTCCTCCATTAAATGCAATACAAAGCGATTCATGCAATACTGTAACTGAGGAGAATAGTTTTAGTGATTCACATTTTACACCAATGGAAGAAGGCGAAGGTGATGGTGATAAAAATGACAGTGTAGATTGTGATCAGACCATGGAGTTGGATGCAGAGCACACAGGACAAGAAAATGCGTTGTGCAGTGATGAACCTTGTGAAAATCCACCTGAAAATCAGGAACAAACATCAGTTGATGTGCAAGATGAACCTTCTGAAGCCAGTAAGGAAACAGAATAATGTTCTTTTTTAAGGCAAATTTGAGAAGTACCAAATCTTTCTGATGTGCACATAGTAGAAAGCGAAACTTTGTTGTAATGAATTTAATTTACCTTGTGTTGCAGTGTGACTATTAGAAAAATGTGATAGGTTCATTATGCTAGGGAAACTACTAGCATTCTTTCTAGTGAGGCTCTTTCCATTGCAGTGTGAAACATTTAAGAAGCATTTGTAGTGGCCTGGCCTGCCATGTGTGTGTGTGAGAGAGAGAGAAATGGTTTTGAGTGAAAGTGAACACAGGAAATAGTGCAAATTGAGGCAATATTTTAATATATTTGAGTAAAACTGTAAACAGTGGTGCAATATGTTACCTAAGATGTGATCGATACACATCAAGCACAATTTTAGTCATGCCTTAATTGTGTCAAGGCAATTGTAAGGTAACAAGTTGAAAATATGTCAGATCTATTGTAATTTTTAACGTTACTTTAATTTTACTCATGAAACGAAGAGTGAGACTCTCATATTATTGTGGAATAATGCTCAATAAAAATATCATTTTTTATATTTTTATAAGAAACTTTGCTTTCTGTAGTCATTTACCACTTTTTAGTTAAATCAAAATTTAAACAATAAATTATATTAACTTTGTCACATCATTAGTATTCTGCTATTCTTTGTGTCAATGAGTGGACAACCCTATGCATGTCATATTGTAGGCATGTACAGGGAAGTGTTGCTCCTGAGCAAGGTAGGTGTTCCTGTGTTCACGGCTGCCTCAACCTACGTTCGCACACCATCGGGCTCCCACATGGAGGGAAACACGCGCTTGCACTCAAATAGAGTGACAAGTGCAAGGTACTGTGGCACTTTGCATTATCGCATCCATCACGTTCTACCAGAAATTGGTTTGAATTGTATTGGATTCTCTCAATCTGAAAGTGTCTTGGCTACTCTGACATCGATCATCAAGAACTCTGAATGTATGAACTCTGAACACATCAGCAATTAAAGGAAGTGCCCTTTTCAAAGAAACTGCAAAATGAACTTTCTTAAGGAACTGTGTGCAAAGGACAACACTCATCAGTTTCAACATCATGTTTTCATGTTTTGTTGTTTTCTTTTCTTTTCGTAACTCCCTGTTATGATAAAAGGTAAATTGTTCGTTCTTTAATAATTGTACATAAGCATTCCAATTGCTGCTTGTCATTTGGTGTACAAGTATATTCAAGATTTATAAATTTATGATCAATTTTTGTGCAGAAAAAATTTGCATTGTGAATATCAAGGATATCTGTGGAGTTTTGTGGGAATCATTTTTGAAGTGTTTAAAATTTTTTTCTGTAACGATATCTTGATTAATCTCTTTTTCAACAGGGATGCCATTAAAAGTTTCACCATATTTAGTCTTACACTCAGGAAGAAATATTGCGTGTGCAACTTTGCCAGTAATTTCAGATAATTATGGTGTCAGGATATATTTTTCTTTGATTTTCTTTTCTCTAACTCAATCATTCTTTAATAAGTTGATGTAAAAAGAATACATCTTGCAAGTAAATTGCATTGCAATGAGAGTAAATTTTGCAAATATATATATATATTCTTGAAAAACTATGAACAAAGAAGTTTTCAATTTATGAGAGAATACTTATTTTATTTATAGTTACAAGTTTATATAAATTAGGTTTCTAATTGTATTATGACTATGAATGTAGGTTTTCATGTATCAGTAAAATATTGAAATATAATCAGAATTTTTATTCAAACTAGTTTATGTAGTAGGTTATAGAACTATATTGGGATACTTGGTGTTTCTCAAGGTGTCAGTTGGGAAAATGTAACTTTATATAGACAGACTCGTATCAGAAATTTTTCAAGTTCTGCAACAAATCTATATTGGGAGGTAGTGGTCATTTATACATGAATAGTAATTCTGAAATGTTGAGGACATTTTTGTGTGCTTGAAACCTATGTGGAATTGCAGAGATATGGTGAAAATGAGTTTACAATGTATATTTTCTTTTAGAATGCCCTGTAATTTATTCGTTTCCATGTGCATGCGTTAGGTGTAATGAATGACACGCATGTGTTGCTCTTCATGAAAACATGACGTTGACTTTAGATTGTCTCCAAAAGGGCCTTTAACATAATTGAAATTGTTGTATTAGTACATCAGAAATCTAATTTCAACTATACCCCCAATATTGTTATGTTGGAGTGTTTAAATGCACGATCTATCACTAGGACCTTTTTGCATAGATTCAAAGAGATTTACTAATCTGTCAAAACCACAGATTAAATGTAAAAGTCGTTTAGGTGTTATGACTGTCACCAATAAATTTTATGTTATTGAAAATTGTGATTTTTCCATTGTTCTTTGCAATATTGCACTTTCATTTATTTGCAGGATGGATGTTTTGTCACATTACTTCCAGATACTTCCAGTACTTCATCCATATTTTGTTTTTATTTAATTTTAATTCACTCCAAAATTTACTTCTTACAATCAATTTCAAGGTTCTGTTACATGAACTTTAATATAAATTAATGAAAGATTGAATTTTGAATTATTTGTTATAATTTTGCAGTGCTTAATATTCAGCTATGAATGTGTAGTAGTTATTCATTAATAAGAGCCCTCTTGAGACTTCATTTTTGTCTCTTAATAGGTGGGAACTCTTATAAAAGTAGAAACCTTCATAGACCTCAACATACTTTATTACTTGTTTCGACTTTTATTCTGACAGATTTTTCTGATATCGAAATCGTCCTTTTGGGAGCAAAGAAAACAAACTCTCACCAAATTGAGACTTTATTTTCCACAGAAAAAAAGCAGGGTGCAGTTTAGAAGGCATTCAACCATGATCACCACGATAGTGAAAAGTACTCAATGTGTTAAGATGACATGCCTTATGTCTGGACAAATTCTGTGTAGCTTTAACTGTTTTAATTTACCTGTATGCTACAAAGAACTCTCAGAGACAATTTGCCCTTGAACCTTCCACACAACAATGCACTGGAAAAGTGAAAACATTTGTGCATCTTCCATAGATGAGCTAGGATATTGCAGCATACAAAAATGGCTTCTTACGCACCCTTTGTCGAGGGTAACAGTAAAACCATTGATACTCAGTATGCCATGTGCTACAGTTTGTCATTTTTGCCTTCCAACTTATTTGTAGAGAAGGAAATTACTTTGAGATAAATATTCTAATGTAAACTAAGAGCAACTTTGGTTTATTCATATCAGGTGTCTATTACATGAAGGAAAAGCATTCCCGTAATTATACACTGGAACAGGCCAACATGTTTGACACTTTAACCCTTATCCCTTGGTTACCTCAAGAGTCAAAGCTGGTAGTCAGGGATCCTGGGCCTGGCTCTGATCCAGCTGAGTGGCATTGGTCAGAATGCCTCGTGAGGTTTCCAGCCACCTCTTGATGACGAAGGGGCAAATAGTAAAGGTAGACCTGAATGTAAATAGAAAGCAAAACTACTCAGCCAGCATACTAAATCTGCATTTGACATAATATTTCTTTTCCATTGTAGAAGTTTACTTTGATTCGTGTAAGCTCATTCTATTTACTACACTAGTACAGGTTCACTGTGAAAGTCAGGCTTCATTGCAGATGGCAAATACAGGCCTTAACTATATATTTTGTATTAGATGTTATTTCCTTAATATTTGTAAAAGAAAATGGTTAAATGATTGTAGAGTTCCTCCAAATAATGGGAATTACTAATGTTTGATATATACAAGTTTTCTCAAGCCAAGTGCAGCCTAACAAAGCACCATCTACACCATACACAACACTTTCAAACAGAAAGGAAGCAAATTATGCAAACAGGCTCACAAAAAGTTTACGACTCGCAACATAAAGCCAGATTAACAGGTCTCAGCACTACAAAATATGAATGAATTCGACAGTCTTGTTGTTTTGTCTTTACCATAATACAAAATATCATTTCTTTAAATACCTCTTTGAGTGAGTAGTCTATTACACTTTAGTTCATGGATTCTATGACTATCCATAAAATGATAAAATATTTTTAAAAGTAGCTGAGATTGGAACATGCGTTTGGAGGAAAAATTCTAACTTTGTAAATGAATTCATGGTGATAAAGTGTATTATATTATGTCTAAATTTCTTGTACAAAAAATACCAAGTTGATTAGCATAATGGAAGGCCATTATCACGAAAAGAAAAAATATTTAATATTTTTTTCTTGTAAGTGAAATACTCATGGAACATAGTTTATTCCATTGATTTTTGCTCGCAAGATTCTCCCTTTTTTCCAACTTCCTCTCCTACCATTTAAGAACTCCCAAGGGATGAAAAACTTTACTCCTCGAGAAATTTACTTACTGTCAAATCCTTAGAAATGTCAATGGAGAAAAGTTAGTTCAAAAACCTGAATTAAAAATCCACTCAAAGCTTGTGCGATTAAATTTAACTTTTTGATGTTTAGGGTAGATTTGTAGTAAAGGGGCAATATTGAAAGAAAATATAAGCCAATATAACTCCACATAAAGCTTAAAACAATGAAAGTTGTTTAGTAAAGGCCATGGGTGAATAGGTGAAACAGTGTCTCTCAGCAAAAGGTTAATTTTAGAGATTAATTTTCATTTCAAAATTGATGTTTAAATGACTAATAAAGTATTTTAAGGTTTTTAAAAATCTGAAGAGAAAAAAAAGTATCATAAATGATTGTGTAAATTAATTATTGTTAACAGTAGATCTGGTGGATGGAAGTTCAGATGAATTATAGGAGTAGAATCAAATAAAAATATTGGTACTAAGGTTTCCTGCAAAAAATTATAAAGAGATTTTCAAGAAAAGAAAACAGGTGGGTCATTCCTTGCAAAAAAAATATAGGTCATCCTGATGACCGAGATCGTAAAGGCAATAGAGCCATAGTGATCCCAGACTGAAGGATCTCTGCCTGGATCCTGCCTCGGGCATGGTTATATTTGCGTTCATCCTTTCACCCCACACCATCACCATATTACACCATACTGTTAACCCTATCATTAATCTAAAGTGGTCGCTAATGACCTAGCTGTTACCAACCTTAAAAAAATGTAGATCTCAACACTTCGATAACTTTTAAATAAAGATTTAAATTTAGATGGTCTTCAGGAACAAAAATAAGCATGTGAAATACTCTCATTTGCAGAGTGCATACAATTGTTTATCAGCATCTTTACCATGCATTTTTTTGAAGAAAAATAATGTATTATTTAAGTTAAAGAAGAATATGAAGAGCAAGTTACCAAAAATGTCCTCTTGTTGTTTTTTTTGTTTTTGTAAGAAAAATGAAATGAAAATCGGAATCTTCAATAACAATGAATTTTCCTCATTTAATAATATTTTTTATGCTCTTTAAATCTGAGAACTTTCCTTTCGTTATAAAATCGTGGGCTTTAAATGTTTGTAGACCAGCAATGAAATTATTGTCAAAACTCTCAGAACTGGCATCTTCTGTAATTATCTTAGATGTATCAGTTATTTTCCAGTTTGTTTACCATGTTTTTTATAAGATTATTGTCCATTTATTTTATGTGTTTGTGTCAGAATTATTTCTCTAAAATTTCAAAATCTTAATCTTCATTGATTACATTAACCACTGCTAAATTTGGCAATTTTTTGCGTATTTCATGTATTGCATTCCTTTTACCTATGCTTTTGAAGAATAAACAGAAATCAATTCCACCAAAAAATTAACTTTTACACAACTGTAGAATTTGTCAAAGTTTTTCAAGACTTAGTTGACTGCATGATTATCCAAAATATCTGACGTTCCATTCATGAACTGACACCTAAGACATTCACAGGATTTTCACCAAATTGAATATTCTCTTTGACAATTACTGTTCCATATTTTAAAAGTCAAAACAAAACATATAGATCATTTTAAAACACGTTTTACAAGTTCATTGTAGTTAATGTTTTTCATTACATACACAAAGTCATTATACACACACAAGTTTTGTATTAACTTTAAATGTATTGACTTTATGTGTGTTATGAAAGACATTTGCGACAATCAATTTGTAACATGTGTGTTTTGAAATGATCTACATGTTATATTAGGACTGTCTATAAAAGTATGGAACAGTAAATGACAAATAGTAATGACAGTAATGAGTAGTAATGACATGACTCAAATTAGGAGAGTGTAGGCTTCCGTGGCTGGAGTCAGTATTTAATTGGCTGCCCGAGCATTACGCCCTGAGGAAGGTTGCAAAATGGCGACCGAAACATCAGCACCTTAGCTGTGGATGCGGCGTAACCCGGACAGCCAATTAAATAATGACTCAAATTGATATTCTCTTCGTTCTGTAAGTTTAAAACATCTTTAATGGCACTTTACAATTAGCCCTTACGACATTTTCAAAATTTTCTCCCAAATGGCTTCACATGTTTTGTTGTAATAGAAGACATAATAATTATGTGAATTATATAGGTCCGATTTTCATTATAAACTGAAATTTCAAATATTGCGAACAATCGCCTTTTTTTTGTTTGTTTTTTTCCTTCTCATATGGAAAATCTGTCAGTCGCATTTAATATTTAAGGGTTTTCTTTCTTAAAGCAATATATTCCTGAATATCATTTAATGTGCAATTTTCTTCAAAATGTGAGTAGTTTTCGTGATTTTTTGAGAATTTTCTGTGATGTTAGGTCCAACACATTGAGAATATATTGCTGCTATACTATGAAACTAATGGTGTTACAGAATGACGCAGACTTTCTTGTACTAGTGGTTTCCTATTCTACTGCATCTATTTGGTTTTTCTCCACCCTCTTCCCAGGTGTCTAGGAAGAGAGTAAAAGTGCCTAAAATAAATTTGTTTTCGTTTTCTCACTTTTTCAATTCCCTAATAATAAAATTGAAATATGACTTTTAGAAAATTATAAAAGAGTAAAACCTGGCCTCGTGCAAATTTTTATGCAACATTTTGGACTCATTTTGAAAAAATGTAATTTTAGAATTTCTGAAAATGCGCGGTTTTAAACTCATTTTCATAGAAAACTTTTTGAGTTTTTTAGGAACTTCATAAGCAGGCCATCAAATCACTCTTAACAACAATATATTAAAAAATTCTTGGAATGTAAATATTAACAATGTGAGATATTTTCATATAATTACAGTTTTGTAATTTTTTGAAAAGAAAAAAAATACATCAAAATTATGTTTATATCATATTATGTCATACTATCATAATATTAGTGCATTTATCACTTTCCATACTAAAAGTTAAACAGAAAAATTTGAAGTTGTTTATGAGAAAATTTTGTATCAAAAAATTGCCCAGATTTCACTGAAAATTACTTTAAAATGGGTAATATATTTTTTAACGCACCTGACATTATTTAAAGAACAAATTTTATTTGAAGAAGATTTACCATCTTCTTCAATGTAGTTGTATGGGGAGGTCTAAAAAATTTCAAACGTTAACAATTTTTGAAAATCCAGAGATTACAGTGCAAATTGGAACAAAGTGAAGCAAAGTTAACACTGCACACTGCTGTAATTGTGAAGTTGCATTTTATCGTTCTCTTCGTTTATGCTATCTAGGGATGTGACATCAACCACAGCACATCAATGTTTGAAAACATTTAATTTGAGAGTCGTGTTTATTAATATATAATTAAAATTTAACTGACAAAACAAAGTAAAAATAATAAGAATGATATTAAAAACACTGACCCTAATGGCCTGAGCTCTTATGATCGTCTCAAGGGGCTCAGCTTCCTCCGGCTTCCTCAGTTCTGTGTACAGAGGTCACAGAAAAAAGAGGAAAGCCATATGCTTACTGTGCTTTTATACTTTTTTAAGTTCACAAATGGTGGAATATTAAATTACTTTCCATTATTTCCTGATTTTAATGGAAAAATCTGAAAAGCATCTTTTTTTTTATCTCAAAAGTCTTTCATTAATAATTTTCTCAATAAATGCTACAAAATGTAAAATCTTAATTTTTACAATACTATAAAATGCCCAGTTATCAAAATGCGATTATTTTTAATTTAGCACCAAATTCTCCCATTACTATTGTTATGCATGGGCCAGAGACATCACGCCAATTTAATTGAATTCTATACTGCTGGAGATGAGAATATATTATTGACAGTTTGGCAGCATTTCTACCGAACAAAGTCCCTTAGACTCTCCAGTGCATACCAACATAATATATTCCCCCTTTCTTATATAACATTTTTATCCCCTTTTTTAGTAAGAAAGTTAATAATCACTCAAACAAAATTATAAACACATGTATACAATTACTAAAAGAGAATACAACATCATGATCAGAGGACAAAAATAAACAAGAAACTATTTGAAAAGAACAAAATTATCAAATCTTGAAGGCATCTTCACATTTCTTCCAGGTCTTGCTTCCAGTGTTGATTGAAGACTCGAATCAATTGGTATTGTGTTTACCAATGGTTCCTGATTCTTTAAAGTTTTGCTATTGTCAGAGTTGTTTACATACACTTTCATATACAAGGACTGTGAAAGATAATTGGGGATGACATCTTTCACTCGAGCTTGATTTGTTTGCCCTGGGAATGGTTTCACATTTACGATGTTGTGTCTGTATTTATTCCTTCCACCTCAAAAATATATTCCCTATCTTTAAGCCTCTCGTGAACCACCCCTCGTGTCCATGTCAAATCTTTATTGGGGTGTACTTGTATAGCTACTGCCTGACCAATTTCCATCTCAAGTGATTTTTTTTTGTTTTATTGGCATAATATTTGCTTTTCTTCTTGGCCATTTTAATTTTCCTCTGCATGTCTTCCACTACCTCAAGCTTGTATGTAATCTCCACTGCAAACTCATTTGGTATGCAATGGCGACTGGAATTCTTTTAACAAAATTGAAAAGTATCTGCTGATAGATTCTGTAGCTCATCTAGCTCAAAAAATCTGAATAGTGATCCACACTAACCAAAAATCTTCTTTTCTGACCCTTGTATTCAGCAAAGAAAACATATATCGATACAAGCTGAAATGGATATTCTAGTACCTCGTGAGATTGCAACAGAGGATTTGGTTTGGATTTCATATAGACTTTACAACCTTGTATGTACTAAGTAATCTGGGTAGAAATTCCTGTCAAAAAAATGTATACCCCTTGCCAGTTTAAGAGTTGCTTCTATTCGAGAGTTAGCGAAGTGTAATTTCTCCAAAATCTCCTTTCATAATGAAAGGGGAATTAACATCCTGTAGATGATATCTCTTTGTGTCATTCTTATCTTTAGAAAACAGTTGACATGAATCTTCTACTTCAGAATAATATCTTGGCTATTTTTGATATAATATACTAGTATCTGCATTGTTAAATCATTTGTTAAGCATGATATAATTTCAACTCCCTGATGTGATATCTACAACAATTTCTCCAAATCTTCTCTAATGCTGAAAGATTGGTGAATTTCTTTTTAACTCAAAAATATTCTTATACTTCAGTTTTTCTTTTACATAAACATTTCCAACAGATACCTTTAATAAAGCATCTGCAATCCCATTCTCTTTTCCTTTTACAAATTGTGCTGCTAGGTGATATCTTTGTAATGTCATCAACATTAGTATTTTAGGGGCTTTTAATAAGGGTTTCTTGAAAATTGAAATCAAGGGCTTGTGGTCTGTTTGTAATTTTAATTTGTTTATTACCAGCAATAGTTAATAAAATCTTGTGAATTCCAAAAACTAGAGCCAAAAGCTCCTTATAAATTTGAGCATATTTTGTTTTTGTGAGTGCCCTAGAAGCATATCCAACCACTTTATTCTTCGATAAACATCAACCCCCAAACCTGTATTGATCAGTCATCATCCCTAGAGTCACTGCTTGGTTAACATCAAATATTGAGGACTATATTGCTTCCAGATACTTTATCTTCTTGAAAGCCTTTCTTCCTCATTGGTTCAAGATCAGTCTACATCGTCCCTCGTAAGTCTTCTCAAGATGCTAGTTTCCTTGGTCAGATTCTTAATATACCGACTCGAGTATGTCACCATACCTAAAAAACGAAGGAGCTCTGTCTTGTTCTTTAGGAAAGCAGTTTTTATAATCGAATTTGTTTTATCTGGGTCAAGTCGTAAACCTTCACTTGTCAAAATGTGATCAACACATTTTACAGATGTTTGGAATAGCTTGGCAAGTTGAATTGAGGCCAATGATTAAGCTACCTATATATGAAAAAATATTAGAAGAAATTGTAAAGAAACAGTTAAATGAGTATATTGAAACAAACAATATTATAGGATAAATGAACAATTACGCTTCAGAGAAAAACAAGCATGTGAAACTGCGATACAAGCAATTTTAGATGAATGGAAGATTAATATTGATGCAGGAAAGAAAGCAGGAATTATCTTTTTGGATCTCAAGAGGGCATTCAAAACTATTGACAAGACAAAGCTTATTGAGAAAATGTACAAATATATAATCAAAGGTAATGTAAGCAAGTAGTTTATTTCATATCTTAACAAGAAAAAAGTAAAATAGTGCGTAGATTTAGGTGTTCCACAAGGGCCAGTTTTGGGTCCAATATTGTTTATAATTTTCATTAATGACTTGAACAAATATATAAGAAACATTTGGGAATGATTGTAAAATTCAATTATTTGCTGATGACACCTTATTGTGTGTAATGGGAGATACAGAATCAGGAACTGAATTTAAACTGCAGAATGTATTTATAGCAATACAAGAAAGGGTAATCCTTGCATTGTTGAGTGGAGGACCTAAGGTCCTTTTCGAGTAACAAAAAGAAAAGAAAAAAAAAGATATTAGAATTTTTTTCTCACCAGCTTAATATTCATTTATTTGGAAGATTTTAACACAATTTTTATAGTAATACGAGTACTGTTTTTGGATTACATAGAAATGAATGCAGGAAATCAAGTTACCCCTCATTTGTCTCTTTGTTGTTGATACTTTGATATTCTAATTTATATTTTGTCCTTGTTTCATGACTAATATGACACTATTGTGTTAGAGAAACTTTTCAGTAGAAGTAGCTAGCAGTTCTTTTGTTTTATTCTCCATGCATAATTGTACATTTTTGTCAGTTGCGTTGTGCATTGTATGAAACTGATTTCCAACAGCTATGAGTGAGCGAGATATTAGACAGTGGATTTCAGAAGTGTATATTCATTTTTTATATTTTCTAATAATTCTCTCTATGTTTAAATGTTCTTGCAATAATAATGATGTGAAATAACAAATGTTTAATACAATACTTATTCCAAAGGTGATAACATGAATAGCTGAGTGTGCAAAACAATTTTTTTTTTCAAATTTTCAGTATATTGCAAAATATTTGCCAAATTTACACAAATTAAAGCAAATACTATCACAAAAACATATCAGCGTTTTTGTAACAATTTTTGGTGGAGGTCACTTGAGTCACACACTAACAGCAATGATTCAATATTACGCCAGGCCATGCATGGATTATAGGTAAATAAATTAATAATGAATGTTGAAAAGACTAATTTTTTAAATTTTACATAGTGGAAGAAACATAGAAGGGTAACTAAATTATTCACAACCGACTTAAAGACAAAAAATGCAATATACATATACGAAATGAAATATTTGGGAGTAATTATCAATAGTAAATTAAATTTTAAAGACTTTATAGATTACGCAGTAAATAAAACTGGAAAAAATAATATTTTAAACAGAATTGGGCAATATGTAAATAGATATATGATGTGTTTGATATAAAAATCCATAATTGCACCACATTTTGACTACTGTGCAACAACACTAGTTGGAGTCTAAAAAACTGAAATTGAAAAACTTCAGATACAACAAAACAGATGAATATGATTACTACGTCGAGTGTTGTAGTTATAGACAACGGCGTTTGCTGAAAATATTTTCCCGTCGTTAAGTCATTTTTGACAAAAATTACCGTTACATATACGAAGAGACAAGGTAATGGTAAAATACCTAGATTAATAGAGAGGCTTACAAGAATCACGTGCGTGGATTCGCTTATTTTTCGTACAATTCGTGTTTGTAAGTCAGAGAGCCATCAATACCATAGTTTCAGAACTTCAAATTAACTACAAAAGAAATTGTTATTGTTAATAGATTATCAAATTATGCGTAATTAAATCACAGTTTGAATAGATTCAAAATTGTCAATTCAGGTTTGCGTGAAAGTGGTTTGGAGAATGACGCTGCTGATAATTTATTATGGCATTGTACATTATTTGATAACTTAAGAAATATTATTGTCGTAAAACTCTACCTCCTTAATATTACCTTACTCCAAAATATTGTGGACATTATTAAAAATTTAGATACGTGTGTTATTCCAATTATATGTGAATTCTTCGTAAAGTCAAAGAAACAAATTTAATATTGAGATAATATTCTGCCACATGTGTAATAGTTGTAAACGTAATAGTTTAAAGTTGTAAATCCTATATGTAATTTGCTGTATACTTATATCTACCGAAACAAACCAACCAATCAACAAACAAACATTCCATCGCGAAGACAAAGCCTCGCGCGCTAAGAAATAAAAATCAAAGAATATAGTACGATTTATTTAGAAGTGCACTTGACATTTAGAAGTGCATCTTCTGTTTCAGCCACTCGGGCGCTTAATTGTCGCTACAGTGACGTCACTATGGAGATATTGAAGTTCCCGATAGGATGAAGCTGCGAACAGCTGATTCACAAGTGCATTGTTAAATAAATCCTAGTATAGTAGGGATATATATCCTTTTTGACTATACTAGGATTTATTTATTCATGCGTATGTCCTATATCAGTAAACACACGTGTAACAACGCCATGCTGTAGGCATTATATGCTCCTTTAGCTGTCCCAGGCAGTTGGTCCCACAACCCACGGTTTGGGAAGAGTCTGGAACGAGTTACGCTAACTCCTCGCCCCATCACACACCAACTCTTCGTTAATCATAGACTCAAAAGAATATATAGACGCACGGAAACAAACACTCGCAAAACAACAATTGGCCCACATGAAGGCGAAGCCAATATCTTGGCGACCGCCTGAAAAAGGATCAAACACCCTCCCGCCCGACGTAGATCTACTGCGCGAAAAACGCAAGGCTAGATGGCTCTGGCAACAGTTCAGATGCCCCACGCCAAAAATTGCGCGAATGCGAAAGCCTAGTCGGAAAAACGCATGAGAGAGATTGACCCCGGTCACTCACGAAACGGCCTTTTCAAACTTGAAGAAGGACTGAGGTCCATGCCAAACACTGCCATTCGCGGACCCGGCAGCGCGGAAGGAAAACCAATATACCTTTTCACCGACCAATAAAAGGCGGAATTCTTTGCAGATGTGCTTGAAAGGTTTATAAACACTACACAAGCAGACGACGAGGAAAATGCAGAGGAAAGCAACACCGTTCTCACACACTGCACTGTCGAAGAAATTTCAAAAACCGTTAAGAGTAAGGGCAGTCGCAAGGCACCGGGCCCAGACCAAATCGGTCCCCCAATCCTCAAAGAGGCATTGCCGATCAACAGCTCGGCACTCACGCACCTTTACTACAGCTGCATGACACTAGGGTACTTCCCAGAGAGATGGGAACACGATAGCATTTCAATGCTCTCGAAACCCTGAAAAGACCTCTCTCGCAACGAGCAATAGGCCTATCAGCCATCTCATATCTTTCCCCTATCCTGGGCAAATTTTTTGGAAAACTAGTCCGCGTTTCCAAAAAAAAAAAAAATAAATAAAGCGAATCAAACCAGCTGACATCTCGCAAAACCTAATACGAGATGAACAATTTGCCTTCAGACCCAGAGACATTCAGTCTCGCTACAGGCAGTATGTATGGCCCAGCAGATCTCTACTGATCTCTTACTTTCACATGATGTACCAGTCGTCTACCTTAACATAGTACAAGCTTTCGACAAAGTGCCACACAGAACACTGATCTCTAAACTTAGGCGCTGCCTCCCGCAAGACATGATTAAATCTTTCCTCGCAAACCGCACGTTCGTGGTCAGAGTGGGAAAAGCGAGATCCTCAAAGCGCGGGATTTTCGCAGGAGCACCCCCAAGGCTCCGTGCTCTCTCCGCTACAGCTTCCGCTTTATGTCAATGACATACCACAGGTACCGCGAATACGGTTATTTCTCTATGCTGATGTCATAGCAGTCCTAGCGAGAAGAATAAACTTAGACCATAAATTAAAAACACCACAAAAACAAAGAACCTGACTCTGAAGTGCGCTGAACAAAACCACTTGACTTTCTCAGCAGAAAATATGCTACTCTCGCCACAAACACAAAGCCGTTTAAACAAATCACAATCGGAACCCAAAAATTTAAAGGGTGCCTAAGGTAACTTACCTGGCGACACTTTTGATCGGAGGATGCGCTGTCACTTACATGACAGACGAATCCGATCGGAACTTCAGCAAAGGGTCCGTCTCCTAAAAACCTCTCTTAAAGGAACCTTCTCCCCCTTGGCCCTTCGCCTGGCCCTATATAAAATGATATAAAAATAAATGTAACTTCACTCGCTGCTCCTAAGATGTATTTATATCATATTTGATTCGTCATACACGATTGTAATTTTATGTGACTCAATAAATATTATTATTATTATTATTATTATTATTATTATTATTATTATTATTATTATTATTATTATAAAACGTGTTGCTGGCCTGTGGCCACCTACGCCACGTCGACGTGGTGTACTACAGCACAGAATTACGAGGATACACTTGAGTTAGTTGAGAGACCCATAACTCGCCCTCCGTTTCGGAAACGACTGAAAATACTGAGGAAGGAACTTGATATCGAAATTAATTCAAATTTGACACCACGTTTCAAATAGCTCAGTTTCCTGCTCTTTGAAGGCATTTTAGAAGAAAAAATCATAAATTTCAAACTTCCCCCGCGGAGATTTTTCTCAAAAAAGCCGCGCGAATTCTTTTCCAGTTGACAAAATACTCATTTCTTTTGTACGAAGTTCTTTAACATCGATTGTCAATCTTTCTATTGGTTCGAAGAGCCACCCCATAGATTGCTTCATCTCCTTGGCAACTGCAACGAAAGATGTTCTCATTGTCAGATTTCTTGGAATCCAATTTCTTCCACTCCAGAAACGACGAGCTCGCATTGTCATGAAAATCAGAGGAGTCGCGAGCAGTTTCGTAGCCATCGTGCACGGAGGCTAAGTGGAACGTATGTTGAGCTTATTGAAAGTTTGATTCGGCGCGCTGCCAGGCAATTCCCAGCACATTTCTACAGTCTACATGACACCAAACGCCAAGACGCGGCGAGCGTAAGCACCAAGCGTAAAATTCATAAGGTAAAAAGTTTATTTTCGTCCGACGGAGATAAACATGATGATCTCTTCAATAGTCATTGATTCTTTTGGAAAAGTAACAATCTTTGTCAATTATGTTTCGTTTCTTTTCTAGAACTCTCTCGTCTAATGAGAACTTTCGATGGAAACGCGATGTTCGTTGCAGTTTCTGCTAATGATCTCCCAATTCATCTAAGCAATATTTCACAGAGGCCTATCAAACCTTTAAATCAAACGAAGCTCCGGCAACACTTAAACAATTCCAAAATCATGTCCTTACTATAAGGAAAAAGTTGACAAGCTCTCGCCTCGGACATACTGAGGGCATAGAGCGAGCAGACCCGCTAAAATGACATAGTCACGAAACTGACTAAATTAATCGTCAAACTGGCAAATGACTAAGGTCCGTCGCGAACCTACACTAACTACTTCATACTTAGCAGTAAAACGCAATTTGCGGGCGCACTGCAATATGATCCAGAGATCAAAATTCGCAACTACTTTCGGCTGCGCCGGAAAAAAAAGTACATCAGCTATTCACGGTTTTTTCCAATCGAGAGCCGGAATGTGCCTCATAGTGGACGTCATTAGCGACATTAAAGCTCCCGATTGGATAAGAGCGCAACAGTTGATTTATGTCAAGTGCACGACTAGATAAATTGTACTAAATATACTATACTATACTTTACTATACTAAATAGTACTGATAGAGTACTCAGCTGGTTTACTCAGTCCGGCGCATTTAATAGTGTATGATAGCGCCAGATAGCGCTTAGCTTACCGGCGAATGATCACTTGTTGATTAATTTTATGAGCTGTTTAAGCGTTTAGTGCGTGCGAATTGAATAAATGTGCGTCGCTGAGATTGCTGCTTGGAAGTGTGTGGAATTGCTACAATAAAGCTGTGAATCTATATTGGTTGAGGTTATTAGCGATGGTTTACAATGACACCAATAATGAGAGAATTCGTCAATTCCGCTCTCGTTCGAGCAGGTACGATTCGACTATGGTGCTGTTTATCATTGATTCATATGTTGTTGTTTTATTGCAATAAAGGGAAGAAAGAATGGAAAAGTTTCGTTCCTCGTTTGATGCACGAGCGAATCAGGAACATATAAAACAAACAAAAGTAACCCTGTTTTAAAACTTATCATGATATACTTTCACGTGTTTGTATGTGAAGCAAACATTACATTGATTATCACGTCTGAAATATCAGTTATTCCTTCAAAAACAATACCAATGATCCTTCGACATTCATACAGTACTACACCCAGCAGTGTCAAGAAGGGTAGCATGTTACTGAAATGTAATTTGTTTTACTACAAAATGGGCAATTAGTAATTATTTGTTATTATTCCCTTTCTTGGAACTCAGCCTGGAGGTGCATTCCTACTGACATTTGAGTAAATCTGTTATTTAGTTTACTTTGATGTACAAAATATCTAAATTGTTTCAGGAATTGTTTTCCCACGAAGCAGCACATGTGCCTGTTCAACTAAAACTACTGTCATCAATGCACCAGAGAACCAGTGGCAAGGAAATGCCATTTCATCAAAGCCTCAGGGACAACCAACATCAAAAACTCATCCTCATTTATTGAAAGATGGAGAGGTTAGTTAATTTATGGAATATTAAGGCCCACAACAGACTACATCGAGGAATGTGTTTCCAGAAATGTGTGACTAGAAATGTGGTTAATCGAAACAATGAATACTTATCGACACCCACGCTCTTGAAAGAGTGTTCTTTTGCAAAGGTGTAAGAGTTTGTTCCTTGAGTCGGTTAGCAAGCAAATTTTCTCAAGACACATTTCTACTCCTTCATTGTTACATGATGTTTAGGCATTCGCTGCCACAGGAAAACACCTAAGTGTGTAGAAACAGATGAGGTTAATATATTTACTAGTAAAAGATGTGATAAACAACCAGTTTTTTAAATGTTGTACTTGATTTTTTCCTTTAAATGGAAATGAACGAAGAAAAATGTATGAGTAAAATATTTCATGTAAGAAAGCAGTACATAATGAGCAATATAAAAATAAAGATTTGAAGCAAGAAATGTGATAGGGTATTTTGAAAGAAATGAATTAATATTTTATTTTTTCTTAATTCACATTTATTTATACTTTAAATATTAATTATGAATTATTTGATCATTTACCATTTATTTATAATTCAACCAAAAATACAGTAAAACTGACAGAGTAGAAATATCGGAGCTCAAGAATATTTGCACATACATAGATTATACTTCTTCCCTATGTGTCACATACAGTTCCTTTTTTAACATTAAATAATGATGTATATGCAGTGCTGAAGTATATATCTCTTTAAGCAATTCGAACTCAAATAGATGGTATTAATTATGGTATTAAAATAAGGATTTCAATAGTAAAAATTACACAAGATCATTTAATAAAACACGAAATGGGACTTGCAGCTGATCTAAGAGCTAACTTCTGTCACCGCCCTCAGCTTAGGGCACATTAAAGCATTTTGAGACATCAAAGACACATTTTTAGAGTGTGGATGCAGCCTCACCGGCCTCTTTCCTTTCTCATCGCATATTTTTCGCAACACATCTCTCGGTGTAGTATGTTGTGTGTAGCCTAATGTGAGAATTTGTTAAAATTTCATCCATAACCTCTTTTCCAAATTTGCAGTTGATACCAGGAATCACAGTAGGAGAATTCCAGGAAAGAAGACATAGATTGATGAATAATGTTTATAAACATGCATCAAGACATAATATGAAGAGCCATCATTTAGTGATAATTCCTTCTGCAACAAAAGTTTACATGACTGAAAAAATTCCCTATGTGTTTCGCCAGAATTCGGATTTTTTGTATCTTAGTGGCTGCCTTCAACCAGACAGTGCTCTAGTTCTGTCAGGTCATGACGAGTCATTTTCATCAACTTTATTTTTACGCAAACCTGATGCCCATGCAGAATTGTGGGATGGACCATCAACTGATCTTAGAGAAGCTCCTTGTATTTTTGGTGTGGATCAAGCATTACCTGTAGGAGAAATGAAATCCTTTTTGAATTCCTTTGCTCATACAAACCGAGGATTTACTCTGTGGTATGATTTTATGCAGCCAATTCAACCTGAAATTCATCGGACTTTGCGAGATTTTCTTGCTGAAACATGGAATAAGGTAATTTTGAAAATAACATTATTATTCTTTAGGTCACCTGATTATTAAAATTTATATATTTATGTATTTAAATATAAAACCACAACTTCAGAAAATTCTGTCATCATATATTAAATTTTGGGCATCAATAATCTAATGATATTTATTTCTGGTCTGTTATGTGTTTTAAGGTTGAAATATAAAGCAAAACGTATATAGTATTAAAAATATTTTGATTAAAGTGATCAATTATGTGTTTTTTAAAATTTTGAATGTAAGATCATGATAGCGCATATTGTTGCAAGGGACAGTTCATCCATGCTATTAAGAAAATAATTAATTTGACATCATACACTTCACAATTGGCACATATATTAATAAGTATATAAGGTTTGTTCAATGGACATATGTATTTTTTATGTCCATTTTGTAATTATATATACTGTTTTATTCCTGGTAATATTTCTGCATGCTTATTCACTTATCACTGATCTTAGTCATCTTCTAGTCACAAGCGCATTCTGTTGGCTTTCTTATGCTCACGCAGGGGGCAATTTCAAACCAGTGTGTACGCACAAAGCAGCTATTACTCCCTGGTGCAAAACTCAATCATCAACATGTTAATTTCACAGCAAGATAATCCTTTTTCACATATCATGTGATAACTGTAGCAGCACTTGTTGCACATTTTGCATTTACTCTGAAAATCTGGCTTATTGATATTTTCTGTTACTGCAGGGTCTGTGATGAATTGTACAGTGAATCGGGTCATCAGATGTCCGAGTTCAAAGTTGGCTCGTTTCCAGTCTGATGTTGTCATTGCATCTGTAGAGTAAAATTCTCTCCATATTAAATTCTTTTACCTGCCAATTTCTTGCATTGCATCATCGTAAGCATTAGAGGACGGATGTGCCCAAATGAGTTAGTCCATATGTAACCACTTGAGTAATCTTTATCCATAAAAGGTGTAGTGCTGTATCTAATGATAGTTTGTTTAGGTGCCTGATGTTATTCATAGCAATGATGTAAGCTTGTTGTGCTGGTAAGGACTGTGCCTCGTGTGAATGTGATGCCCAGGTATTTGATGTGGTTCACTATTTGTAGTTTCTTGTTAATTATGATATAATCTGTTTGTATGACTCGACCTCTTTCATAAATACCATCATCACAGTCTTGTTTTCATAAAGTACAAGATCATTCTCTTCGGCCCAACATTCTAAACGAATGCATGTTAGTTGTAGCTGGTTGTGTAATGTCCATAATAGTACCGTGTCATTGGCATATGTGTACATGTTGACTTACTTAGTCACTATCACTTGTACTACATCCTTAGTTGCAAAGTTAAAAAGCAAGGGACTTACGGGTCCTCTTGTATAACCCTGTTCATCATGTGTATTGGACTTGACCTCTCGATCTGGTTGTGTATTTGGACAGAGTTGCAGGTAAGGATGTTGTTTGTTAGTCTTGTTAGGTGGTGTTCCAGTCCTAAGAGGTTTCCCAGCTCTCTTATCAACTTTTGCTTGTTGATCATGTCAAATGCTTTACTGTAATACTGCATATAGCTTTCTTTCATGAAGCCCAAGTGCTTTGTGTATGTAATTTTGTTGGCATTTCACTGTGTGTATTGTAGGTCATACTCTCCAGAAGCCGAATTGTTCCACTGGTATTCTGTCATCTGTTAATCTTGTCAGTCTGTTAGTGAATAGCTAGTAAATACCTTGAACGGTGCAGATTCTAATCCAATTGCCCTTTAGTTATATAAGTCTGCCACATCACTTTTTCCTTTGTATAGTTCTTGGATTTCTGAGTTTTTCCATTTATCTGGAATATTCGATTCTATGAGGCTCTGATTCATTAGCTTGGTCCATGTTTTAGCAGTACTGAGGTGTTCGTTATATCATGTAAGGTCCACAGGCCTTTCTATTTTTGAAGCGAGATATTAAAGATTCATTTTCTTTTACAGTGTACTGGTCAGAGTCTTTTATTTCATTGTCTGGCTTATTGCTTTCTGTTGGTCTAGTGTCTTTTGACTGTAGAACATTTCTGAAATGAGTATTCAATGTCTTCATAGGAATTTCTCTGAGTTATGACAGTTGTTGAAGTTACAGGGGTTTGAACGGATTATTTTCCGCCTCTTCTAATTTGTTTCTTTCATTATGAAGTAATTCTTTCTTGTCTCGTTCAGTTTCTCTTTGGTTTTCATCCTTATTCGTTGAGAGTCTTCAGGTGTTTTTGAGATCTTGTATTTATGTAGACTTTCCAGTGAATATTTCCTTGTTATGTATCATTTAGTGTTAAACCACGGTTTGGATTTCCTTTGTGAGACGAGTTTGTGTACTAATTCTTGTATCTGTGTTAGTGCTTTATTTATTCCTCCTCCCCGTCCATTGTTTAGAAGATTTCATGTTTTGGCTGTAGCTTTTGTGTGTTTGTTTTCCTGTAATATCTTTTGAAATGAGCAGAATTTGTGCACTTCCATTTATGGTTATCCAACATTCCAGGTGTTTTACCACATCACATTCTTTTTGTAGTAGGGGTCTCATGTTTTTCATTTTCCTATATATGACATCTATGCTACTTGATCCATTAAGGCGTGTTATTAGTATTGCATCATCCTTTGGTAGTCTGTTTAAAGAGGTAGCGATCTTATCTACTACTTCCTCTCTATTAAATTCTGACTGAAAGTAGGCACATATAATACTATACATCTTTGTTTTAAATATTGACACATCAGTTTTATGTAGGGTTTTGAAGAGAGTGAGCTTTGGACTCAAAGAGACAAGTGATTCTGCCCTTGGGTCTTCCTAATGTACCTTGTACAGTGAGCACATGTGATGCATAAAACTTGCAGTGTTTCATAATTTCTTTATGAATGCAATGGAATGCTTGTGACAATATTAATACATTATTTATGAAATTTGTGTTCATAGATCAACCAATAGTATTAGCTGACCGTTCATTTAGTTTACCGGGATTCTTTGTATTTTTAATTATATTCTAACTCCAAAAGCATCTAACTATTGCCTGAAATTAATTATTTTTTGGTTTCAATTTACTATACTGAGTCTGGCCATCTTTGGTGGGAGTAGAAATTAATCTAACAAATGATAATAAAAAAAAATATTTTTTGTACATTTCCTGTTCTGATTTGCCAGTTGTCAGAATGTGATCTTTCAAAAACAGTTTTCACGTCATAGTTATGACTCATATGCATTATTATTATTATTATTATTGTTATTATTATTATTATTATTATTATTATTATTATTATTATTTTCCGAGAGGAAAAAATGCGTTATGCACCGTCAGGGATTCAGATGGTATAATCCCTGGCGTGTGGGACTCCCACTCTCAGTGGTATACCCACTAAAAAAGCTCTCTCTACTTATGCCCATGCGCCTCTTCATGGAATCGTCGCGAGACATTACTTCATGGAGAGGCAGGCACGTAGCTGAGCATTTACTTCAGGTTAAGAACGAAGGCGTTCTTCTTTCCTTTTCCTGACTAATGTCAAATATTCGTGTACTGTACTCCACTCCTCTGATTTTAACATACACTGCACTAAGGTTAATGTTTTTACAAATAAACTATGCAGTGCGTCATCATCTTCACACCCACAAAATGGACATTGAGGGTCGGTTGCTCTTTGAAACCTAAACAAGAAAGACTTAAAACAGCTGTGACCAGAGAGAACCTGCGATAGGTAATAATTTACCACGCCGTCACTTCTATTGAACGACGGTTCTATATTCGGTATCAACTGGTGAGTCCATCTTCCTTCAGTGTCACCACTTACATCCCACCTCACCTGCCATTCTGACAAGAGAGACGTTCGTGCCCTCTTGAGGTTGTCTTTTATTCTGCACGGAGGGACTCTTCACCTCGTCGTACACACTTTTCCTTTCTCTTGCCAGCAGATCAATAGGGGGTACTGTAGTCCCACAGCGCTGGCTGAGACCGTGCGGTATGCTGACACTATTCTCTGCCCCAATCTGCGTTGCACTTGTGCGTACTTCCGTCCCACGATTGCTTCCCCTACTCTGTCAGCCCACACCGGAGCTGCATGATGCATTTGTGAGTGAGCTACACTGGCAATCATACGTCTCTTGGCTTTGGACCTCCTATTTTTGGCATAATTCTGGAGATGTCTCCAGTTGCTGCTGCTTTATCTGCCATTTTGCTGATATGGGGCCTGAAACTCAGCATATGGTCTATTTCGGCACCCAAGTATGTAATTTGGCGTTTCCAGGGGATGTTTACACCGTCCAAGGTGGTGCGGAGGAATTGGATAGCTCTTCTGTCTGTTACTAGTACTGCCTCCGTCTTTTCAGCTGCCATTTGCAGACCTCTTTGCGTCATCCCTCTTTTAACCCTGAAGAGGGACTCATTTAGGTGCATCTCTAGCAATTCTGCGTTTTCACTGTAGCTAGTAATGAGCGTGTCGTCTGCATATCCAATCAACTGGGTATGTTGCGGTAGGTCGATTTTTAGTAGGTCGTCATACATGACGTTCCATAAAAATGGGCCTAGTTTGGAACCTTGTGGTACTCCGCATATCATTTCTTCCTCCAGCCTGAAGGCATCCTCGTACGTAATCTTCCTTTCGGATAAGTAATTCTCTATTCTAAGTAGGTCTTTTGGGACCAACTTCGCAACCAGGGCCTTAATAACATTGCTCCATCTAGCGGAGTTGAACGTATTCCTAATGTTGTGAGCTACCAGGGCGCATAACCCCTTTTCCTGTTTGTTCCTGTTTTAGCAGCGTCAGCTATACATACCACTTCCAGAATAGCATCTGTGGTCGAGCGGCCTTTTCTGAAGCCAAATTGTCTGTCAGAGACCTTCGTTCCTGCTGTTTCTCTAATCTTTGCAAAATCAACCCTTCTAGTAGTTTGCCCATAGTGTCTAATAGGCATAATGGCCTGAAAGATGATTCCTGTCTGTGGGCTTGTTTCCTTTCTTAGTAGAATTAATTTCTGTTTCTTCCAGTTTTGGTGGAACGTACTAAGTCTGAGACAGCAATTAAATGCTGACAGAAAGTAATCTTGGGTATTCTTTGGTAACAATCTTAATAATTTTGTTTGGGATTTCATCGGGACCAGTGACTTTTTTGTATTTTAGTTTGCTCGCCTGTATCTGCAGCTCGTCGTCCGTAAAAATATTGTTCTCATGAAATTCATAATTACTCTTTATTCCTTCTCCATGGGTCACCCTTAGGGAAAAGATGTCTTATGATTTTCTTCACCCATTCAGGGTCTTCCAATCCGGGAGTTTTTTTGTTCATACCAAAGTTTTTTGTTACAATTTTATTTGCCGTACCCCATGGTTCATCTTCCACCTCTTCAAGAAGCTCTTTCCAGCACTTTAATTTTCTATTCTTTATTTCTCTTTTCAGCTCTTTTTGCCAAACTTTGTGTTCTCTTCTTAGTGATTTGTCCGTTTTGTTCTTGTAGCGAGTCTTTTGGCTTTAATGCACTTCTTCCGTAGCTCTGCAATCTCTGCGGTCCACCAATACACCTGTTGCCTTCTCCCTGGACCGCTGCGTCTAGGCATAGAAGCTAAACACGCAGCCTTCACTATATCCCTCAGTTCTTTTACTGTTGCCTCTGGCGTGTACAGCTTCTCCACCCATCCTATGTTGTGCACTAGCCTTGATACTTCTAGGGACTTTTTGGCCTCAGTTTCTACCAGCTTGTTTGTGTTTCAGAATAGCCGTCTCCTGCGCTTTTGGTGCTCCCGTTTATTACCACCTGTGCTATTGGAGGATGAGAACTGAATGTAGCTGTGATCAGCATTCAGTACTCTCCAGTCCTTTACTCTTAGCAATCCCATTGGGGCTTATCGTCAGATCCAGAATGGATGCTGCTTCTCCCATCTGGAACGTGTTAACGTTTCTCGTGTTTAGTATGACTAGATCACATCTTGCTAAAAACTCACAAACAATGTCCCCTCTTTTTCAGATCTTCATCCCCCCCCCATTCTGGAGATTTGCTATTAAAGTCGCTCGCTACTTCCCCCTTGGCAGATTTTATGCTCCTCTCTAAATCTTCTATTTACTTTTTAAATTTATCAATTGGGTAATTTAGGGAGCAATAGCAGCTGTTGACCCGTAGGTCATGCAATTCTACCCATATGAATCCATGCTTTGATGCTTTAAATTTTGACACAGCAGTTTTTTTTACTATGTATTACTACCACTGCTCTTCTAGAGTCATCTTGAAGCCACGTGTTTTTGTCGGTTGTTCGCTAACAATCAACAAGTCCACGTTTCTTTCAGTTGCAATTTGTACAAGTAGGTTTTGTGCGATTTTGCTCCTTCCTTGGTTAACTTGTAGAAACCTTATTTTGTCGCTTATTTTGTTGATTTCGGCGTAGGAGGAGCATTTTCTGCTTCCTAGCATGTGCCCATCATTTAGACTTTTATTCTTGCAGATGACACATTTGGGTGTCCTGCTGCAGTCTTTTATCTGATGCCCTGTTTCTCCGCACTTGTAGCATGTATTTCTACGGTCAGGGCATGGGCAGATGGTGGATATGTGTCCAAAATCTAGCATGTTTTTACTTGTTGCTTCTCGCGCATCTGGCAGTTGACCCATCCTATCTTTATTTTACTCTTGTCATTCTTCAGTAGTTGTGAGGCTAGATCTGTAGGTAGCAAGAATGTCGCTGTTTGTGTGCTTGCAAACCCCTTATATAATCAGCATGAGATGTCTATTTGTTCGGTCTGTGTGTCTAGGACCCTCCCGATTGCAGCTACTACGTCATTTGCTGAAACAGTCTCGTCAATATCTCTAATTTCTACAAGGGTTTTTTGGTGTGAGTTTTCTAACTATAGCACTGCCCCGACTGCCTTGTTAAATGATGATGTGTTCCCTTCTTTGCCAAGGACAATTAGTAGATCCTGTTTCTGAGTTTTTCTTATTTTCTTAATGATTGTGTTGTGGTCTTTTGAATCGACTTCACTTTTCATCTTTGTGAGGATATCAGCATATGTCTGACCTTTTCTGGCAGTGATTTTGATGGCCTGCTTCAGGGTTTTATTTCTTGGCATGTTTTGTTCGGTTTTCACTTTCTAATTTCTTTTTTCTTCTCTTGCCTCCTTCTTTTGCTCCGGTGGTTTCAGCCGTACTTCTCCATCGTCTCCCTCCACCCCCACTGCTTGATGTTCTGTGACGTCGTATGTGACATTGTTGACTGTGCCACAGCCTTCTGTTTTTCTTTCTCCCCTCTTCTAACGTCTTCTTCCAGTGGGCTGGATGCCTCTCTCTTTTTCCGTTGTGCCCGTGGTGAGTACTGTCTTTTTTCTATGCTATTGACCTCTTCCCGTTTTACAAGGGATTGCATAGTCTTTTGGAACTCTTTATCTTCTCTTCCAGAGCATTTTGCCATCTGTATCTTAACGCATCGATGTTAGCCCGGGCTTTAGACATAGCTTCCTTAACGCTTACCGGGTTATTTTTTAGCATATACGCCTCCATCGTTTAGGCTGTCAATGATTGTTATCTGTTGTCCTTCCAGTTGTTGTATGGTCTTCCATTTATTCATCAAAACACTCCCTGGAGTCATTTCTTCTGCGGGTCCTTTTCCTGTCTCAAGTCCTAGTTTCTCCCTCGCCGCTCCATCTCGTTCCGCAGTCGTGCTTGGATTTCGCTCCCGCTGGTCGGTAGGTCTCCCTGGAGTGATTGGGGTACTCGGAGGCGATCTCTTCAGGGGTTAAAACCTGCAGACTCTATGCTTTCGCTTGTGACAGTGTAGTATTTCAGAGACGCCAAGCGGTCCACGTCTCTGAGATTGCAGTCGCTGGTTGACGACCGCCGGGGGCCTGCTTGCCCACCCCTGGCTGCCGGCCCCCTCCAATCCCCTGCACCTTAACGGTTGATCCTAAGGGACCTTCCATCTCGGGTTTCTTTCCGGGGTCACCTTCCCCTAGCGTTTTTGAGCTACCGCCAGCTAAAAGGAAACGGAAGAAGAGGAGGGGGGGGGGCAGTGAAGAATAGAATTAGAGTAGTAGAGTAGAACGGAAACGACTCCCTAGCCCTCGTAATAGCGTCGAGGTCGAAAACACAAGTGTTGGCCGATACGAAGATTGGCCTACAGGACAGAAAACTGAAGTTTGCCACAAGTAAGTGGAAGCAATGACACACACAGTTAGTGGGAGTGCCTGGATGTGTAAGGGAGTTGTTGTTGTTGTTGTTGTTATTATTATTATTATTATTATTATTATTATTATTTTCTTTTAATTATAAGTTAAAAAGTTTTATCAGAAAAGCCGTAGTATTTAAAAGTTGTAACTTGTGTCCCCGAACATCAGTGTGATATCTATGCTGTCATGTTTTGTGGTAAAGCTTTAGTGACTTTTGTTTTAATAAATTAAATATGTAGCATTTTGTATTTGCTTTCATAGATGTGGGAATCTCCTAAGCCTCTAGTTCACAAAATGCGATTGTACAAGTCTCCTGCTGAAATTGGGCTCATGAAGGCATCATGTGACATTGCTTCAAATGCAATATCAAAAACGATTCAATACTCTCATGATGGCATTACTGAACATCAACTATTTGCTTGTGTTGATTATGAATGTCGTGTGAGAGGAGCTCAACATTTAGCATATCCTCCAGTTGTAGCTGGTAAGAACATCGATTCATTATAAAATCTAGTAGCAGATCATTTATTCCACATCTTCAAGTGTTTTGTTTTTTATTCCTTTTCTTTTTCTTTCTTTTCCTTTCTTTCTTTTTCTCCTCTTTCTTTCTTTTTCGCCTTCTCTTTCTTTCTTTTTCGCCTTT